CTGGCAAACAATCTTAAAATAATTTAAAAACAATTCCCATCATAAATACAAAAATTAAGATACACAGCAGCCAAGGAGGATATCACAATCAACAGTTGTTGCACAACCAGGAGACAGGACCCTTTACACACTCAGGGCCCCAGGCCTGGGCACAGAACCAGGTCTTTAGGACCTTACAAATGGCCAGCAGAGTTGGGGCCATCCTAATTTCTGGAGGGAGAATGTTCCATAGGGCAGGTGCTGTGGCAGAAAAGGCATGCCTCCTGGTCCTGCCAATTGGCATTCCCTGGCCAATAGGACCCAGAGCATGCCCATCCTGCTGGACCAGATCAGACAGGAAGAAACAACTGGGAAAAAGTCCCGCAGGTAACCCGGTCCCAAGCCATGAAAGGCTTTAAAGGTGACGACCAGCATCAATAAATTTGGCATGTCGTTGTTTCTTTTTCTTTCTGTGTTACTAGATAAACAAAGTTGAGAGAATTTCATATTTTTATTTTGGCTTCCTAGCATATATTAATGGGTAAAATACATGTTAAGTAGCCAATGATAAAATACTGTTTTTTTAATATTACTATTTCCTGTTATTATTTTGTTCATAAATACAACAGGTATAAAGAATTAAGAAATAATAAAATTTGCATAAACATGATTGCCCATTGCTGCTATCCCAGAAAATAATTTCCTATTTCTTGAGCAGGGCTTTTTAGACTTTTTCAGGTCATGGAACCTGTCAGGTATCTTTCTTGTGGTCAAAGAGCAGTACAAAATAAAACTCAACAGTAAAAAAGCAAGTTGCATATAAAAGAGAACAAATTGTAAATTATCTGAGCTTATCAATTGGACAACTATGCATTTTGCATATGAGGTATCAGAATTTAGCTACATTTAGGGTACAAGAGTCATGGGTATCTGAGAGTAAAAGTTGTAAGTAAAATAGACCGGATTGACCAGGAAACATGCTTAAATGTGGGATTAACAACTCTGACCATGTGCCAGGATAAAACAGGTAATATAATGTAGTTTACAGAATCAATAGCTTCTTTGCCACATGGGCAAAACCTTAGAAAACCATGCAACCTGTTAGGTTTTGTTTTTTTAAAACCCAGAAGCTCTGATCAAGAAGCAAAGTTCTGTTGATAGAAGATTGGCTGCATTCAAGTCAACTTTTTTTACTCTTAGTCTCTCATAGAACCCCATCAAGTTCTCATGGAGCCTCACAGTGCTGCAGAACAGAGTTTGAAAAACATTCTTCTAAGGATGTTCACCCCTTAATTCATATGTGGAATCCCAAACTATAGCCTGCATATCTGTGCCCTAATCAACTCTGTGCTCTAAATGAATTCACTGTGTTTAGATTTACAGCTTAAATAAAGGTGAAATAATCACTAGCTTTAAACACAGATAATTAAAAACAGTTGGAGGTAAGCCACTGTTGTTGAACATAACACTTTCTAGTGAGGTTGTGGAAGAACTTGATGGCTAAATAGAAGTGCCCAAAATATGGTGGCAGAAAAAGGATTTCTTGTAATTTACTGTGATGGTATTCAACTATTTATATGGCATGGTCAATACAGTGTAAAAATCACAGGATTTATGATGCTGTTAGAGAAGAAAATATCAGCACTATCAGTGAAGTCTTGAATACTAGTGACTTCATAGACCTGTCTATATTGTTTTCTTGCAACAGTATGGAAGTGGGTTTGCCATTTTAAAAATTTTAAAGGACAGCCCTTTATTTTCTTTTATAGATGTAAGTACATCTATATGGAATCAAATCAAATAGAATGATATAAATTATATAATAAGATATAGGGGTTTGAGCAATATAAATTATATAAAAAGACATGGGATTTTTTAGCAATACTTCATTGAACTAGTCATTGTGGTTCAAATATAAAACTAAGTCATAAATCATGATTTAGAAGCCACAGGAAATAGATCCATATTTGAAGTGATATTCAATCTAAATTGAGACACACCAAATTTAAAGGCATGTGCAGAAAGTGTTTACAGTACTAGATGTGAAGTGCGGTACAAAAATTTGACAGCGCAGTCCTGCATTACTGAAATTTTCTACCCGTAGCTGCAGAACCATTTTAAATTGGTTTTGAGGCTTATTTGTATGCTTTAAATGTTCCAAGCAAATCCTTAGAAAGATTACTTTATACAAGATAAAATGTCTATGTCATTTTTGGGGAAAGCTCCAATACACATACTGTCTTTGTGACAAGCTTCTGATACTGAAATACTACCATATAAGTTCAATATGCATATAGTGCTTTGCATTACAATGGTGATTTAAAATACTGGTAGGATAGGATGTATACTGTTTGACCATAATAAAACTAATTTGTAGAATAAGTAACTCCTCAGAAATGTGTTTCCAATTTAGAACATTCACACAATTAAATCATATGAACTGCTTAAATCAGAAGTACTAAGCACAGAACTCAGTATAATTTTATGTTTGGTGTGTCTCTATCCTAATGACCTAGTATCTTAGAATTGAAACATATATAATTATTTTATGATTTTTAAGTTCCTATTGCATGCTGTCAGAATTTTGGCATAAATAAAATATGATCCCTACTTCTTATTTAATACTGACATGTATATAAAATATGCATGTGTGATGTGTCATTGGATTGTTTCAGTCTTAAAATACTTTGTGTTCTTAGGCGTCTAATTTGTATATACACAATAGTGTGCATATACACATAAATATACATGCAAGCATGCACACTGTAAGTGTATATATGTATATATTATGTTTGTGAAGTTAAATATTGCATGGTACATTTCTAGACAGATTAATTGCTTGTAAAATTTCATAAGTCTCCATAGACTAGAAAAGTAGCCCTTCCAAAATAAAACTTGCTTTTGTTCTTTCTCATATTCCATCTTCCAACTGGAGAAATATCTTCCGTCAAGGTGGGAGTGGGGGAAAACAACTCTTACAATATTTGGCATCTTGTTTCTTGTTATAATGCTGACTTTACTTCTGTTTGTTTTCTTTAAAGTAAAACTTGTCATGACCAAATGAAATGGCATTATTAAAAACATGGATTTTAGGTGCTATTGGAAAAAATCCAGTATTTCAATGTTTAAATATACTTATTTACACCTTTATTACTGGAATTGTAAAAAAGACTGTTTTTCTTATGTGTCAAAATACTCTGGGGCTTAAAGCCAAGAAAATTCTGAATATGATAAATGCTGAAATAAGTTTGCTTTGCTTATATGCTCAGACTCTTGCTTGGTATATGGATTCTGCTAATGGTGTCTAAATAGTGAAGGCTTTGGGGGGAGGTTCCATTTTTTTTGGAGGGATGGAGAGAGCATGAAACGTTACTGTAGTCTTGCATTAAGCATCTTTCTCCTTCTGTCAGATGTAGGGGAGAAATGCAAAACTTGTTTCAGTTTAACTGTTTTAACCATACAACAATGATCAGTACAGCATCCCATAACTAATGCTGACCCCCCCCACCCCACTTTCCCAAGCAACATTCACTGTGCATTTAAAAGGTTTTTGTGGTTTAAATGTTGTTACATATTTTACAGCATTAGGATCTATGGAATATTTTGACAACTGCAACAGTTCAATGAAGTTGGTAATTTCTTCTTTTAATTATTTTTCATTGAACAGATTTGGAGTTACACTTTTTTAAAAAGTTTGTTTTTCTAATGCTTTTCAACACATTGCATAATCTTTTTAGCATATTAAATAGCCTTTGACTCTATGGGTAGCAGCATTTTGTTTTTGTTGGTACATAATATTGACACAATAGTATGGTATTCTTTCAGCTGGTGATCATACGTGAATGACTGTACATCACTAGATGAGCTGGTGCTTGTGGCTTCACGGATTGTCTGCAAGGTCCTAATCCACTGTAGAATGGGAAATGAGGCTGGCTTTATGCATTTCATTGAGTAGAATGCTGGTACATACAGGCTTCAAGGTTTTTTTCCCCCTTAAACTAACATTGTGCAAGTAATGTTTCATGGATTGTTTAGAGACAGTCTTTGGATTTGAGAACTAAATGAAACATTAACCATGTTTCTATGATGTTAGCTGAGGCCTTTAAATTTGAGTCTGTCTGCTTTAAAAATGGTAATTCCAGTAAATACTTTCTAGCAACTTGAACTTTAGGGATACAGATAAAGTTGCCAGAATATTCTTATAATAAACAAGGGAGTTTGTTTGCTGTGTCACTGTAATCTCATTAAAAACAATGAATGCCTTGTTCAAACGGTCTCATCTCTATAGAACTTTTTAGCTATGTTTTCATATCACTTTTTGAAGTTTTTGATCTGGAAATCTAAATATTTCTGAAATTAAAATACCAAACATAGAAGGAAATGGCACATGCTATTTAAGGTATATTTTTACTTGAAGAAATATCCTTTTGAGTATTCAGATAACAGTGTAATGAGATTTTGATCCTCTGGCCTCAGTGTAGGCATTTGGGCCATTTTTTATTGAAGGCTTGCTCCCTCCCAGCATGTATTTTATGCAGACTCTTTGCTTCAGTCAGGGTTCATTACTACACAAGCATGCCTATACACACACAATTTTAAACTTTGCACATTTGCTATAGGGTATTTCATATAGCAGCAGTCAGTTTGTAGCATTTTCTTTATACAATCCCTTGAATTTAAGAGAGCATTATGTTTAGCAGTCCACAAGTTCCTCTGGCACCAAACTGGGTGTCACTAAATATTTGTCACTTTATGACATTCTACCTTGAAATATTTGGTTAAACTACCTAAAAAACAGCATTTTTGTTATCCCAGTTTGTTAACATCGATGGCTGAATTATAAAGATACCCATGGGTGGTTTTTAAAGTGTAAGAAGCATGCACATGCAAAATCTCCCAGCAGCACATTTGGTCATACCCACACTTTTTTTTAATGCAGTTGTCTTTGCCAGTGATAAAACTGTTCTACTTAGTGTTTAAAAGGTACATCCACAAAATAATTAGTATTAATTATAAATATCCTTGTAATTCAGCAAAATGTAAAAAAAAATCATGGAAAGTTAATGGATTCACCGATTACATTTCAAATAAAGCTAGGTTCAGCTCTATTCTTATACATTGGTAACATTTTTAACAGGCAATTTTAAAGTATTTTAATGCTTTGTATAACAATTCAGTAATCTAACTCTAGGTATATAGACTAACAAATAAAACTAGTCTAATAATAAATAATAGCACTTAAGTAGCTATAAAAGGAATTAAACTAAAACTGAAGTTCCCTTGTATTAATAAACTTTGTAAATATGTCTTCTTTCCTTTCAGCAAGGAGCAAATAATGCTGAGAAGTTTGACTATGTAAGCGAACCTTTTAATTGTTACAATTTATTTCCTGCAATTTTAAATTTATGAAACAAAGTAGGATTTTACTGCTGAGTTCCATATTTTTCGCTTCATGTCTGTTTATTAACTGGATTCCAAATCACTTGGATTGGAACTGAACACTGCTACTGATCATAAGGAAAAATTTAATGTTATAAATTTTATATTTAACAGTAAACTATAATGTAGCCACTCTGGAGACAAGCCTCAGTCTCATAACTCTACAAGTCTTTCCTCTTTTAGTATAGCTGTGAAATTTAGAAGCATTTGCTTCCCAATTTTAAACTAACCACAGAATGTAATTGCATTTGAACTAGAACAAAATGTATCTAGTTTTTTAATTGAAACAAGATAAAAAAGTATTAATTTCTAATTTAACTATAGTTCCTACTTTAGACATAGCAATAAACAGCAATTTATATTAAAGCAGAAAATATCTTCATTATTTCTCGTGGAGTACATTTGTTCTTACGGAATGACAGTATCGTTTAATATCCAAAGCCAACTCAGTGATTTGCACTGAGCACTGGCTATGGAGTGCATCTTGGTACATTTTGAAAAAAAAATCATGCTTTCTTAATAGGTAATGCAGTTCATGAATAAGATGGCTGGAAATGAATATGTCGGTTTCAGTAATGCCACGTAAGTATGTTTCCTAGATTAATTCTGACATTATGAGCTAGGTAGCAATAGTTAATATCAGTAGTGTACATATTTTGGTTGATTAATCAAATCTGTTCCATCAGCTAACATACATAGAGTCCTTGGGTACAGGAGAAGCATTTGCCTTTATGCTGGATTTCTGTAGAACTACCTTATGGCACTATCTCCTCCAAAAATCAAGTGGAAAGGGAGGAAAAGACCCTGCTCCTTTCCTCCACTAAGAGTTGAAGATCCAGGAGAAAGAGAAGTTCTTTCTCTTCTACAAGTTTGGTTTTGGTGAAAGCCTCAGTATTGCCTCACCACTGTTGTCCCCTTCAAACAACTGTGGCTCCCTGTAGAGAGACATTAATAAGTAGTTTCTTCCTCTCAAAGGGTTTTTCAAGAAGCAGCAGCAAGGCATGCTTTTCTACAACAGCTCAGCTTGTAGCCCAGCAGCATGAATTTGCTGTATAGTTTCTGTTTATTGGAGTGATGATGGTACTAATGATGAAGTTTTCTCCTAAACTGGAGAATGTATCAAGAATACCTCGTCTCCCTACACAGTGACTGAACAAAAAGACAAAGAGATGACTACTTTCTTACAAGAGGCAGTTTCCTTCCCATGATCTTTTAAAAGAAGAAGTGGTGAAGTGCTTTTCATGCTTTTCGGGAATGGCATCAGATTTGTAAAAAAAAATAAATTTTCTTTTTTTCCCTCTGAATGATGGAGGAGAGGGGAATAGTTGTGTCTCAGGAATGGTTTGTGAGGGAAGCAAAGGAACAGAACATGTTGACATTAGCAAAGGGATTTATAGAATTCTGGTTAAAACATGGCAAAATATTCCTTAAGAAATTCAAAAATCTTATTATTTCATTGACTTAGATGCACCCCCAAATCACCACAAATAAAAGTATTTGACTGTTTTTTTAAAGCCATTTTGATCTCACAACTACCACTACAGAAAAGGAGATTTATTGTGATGTGGCAACTTATGACAGAATGTTTCTCTGTGACATCTACAGATATGGTGTTATTTTGTCTGGCTCAAGTAACTGACTATTGGATATGTGGGTTGTTAAAAACCTTATAGGTTTCAAACAGGAAAGATGGATAACATCTTGAATGATGTTTCAAAGGCAGCATGGAATGAAAACACTAAGCAGTTAGCCTCGAGTGGTTAGCTTCTCTGGTAACCTCTGCCAAATAAAGCCTGTTCTAGCTTTGAAGTTCTCTGACAATTACAGCTTGCTGCTGTCTTGTCCAGGCACCATCTGCAATGCATATAGTTTAGAAACAATGAGATTTGTGTGATGCATCTTGGGAAACTTTGACCAAGGAATGTGGCGGTAGTCTTGCTGTTGTGTTCTTGATTTGCATTAGTAAGGACCAAGGGTAATGATGGGGGTACATTTGTGACTTGCACTGCATTCCTATATTCCACTTAACATCTCAATAAGTTCTATTGAATTCTCAAGTAGTTAGGACAGATGTATTGTCAACATTTTAGTTCCCTTGCTGAGTTGTAACTTTATTTATAAAAACTGTTCCGTTAAATACTGAGTAGCTAATAGACATGTCTTTTGTGTTGAGACTTATAATGTGCTACAGCACTAATTTGTTCTTTTTTCATGTAACCTCCACACAATAGTCTGTGCCCTCCCAAACTAAATAAGTTACCAGAGTTACAATAATTTTATATAAAAAAAGATCCCACCAATAACTTGCAGTATCGTTAATACGCATTTAGTGTTTGATACCAATTCTGCCCCTTTTCTCCTTTAGGTTCCAGTCTGAAAGAGAGAGTGGAGACAGAAACTTTGCAATAGGCTATTATCTGAAAGAGAAAAAGGTATGCTTTTGGGTTATATTTACTCTACTTCCTTAAATATATGTAGTGTAAATTGAACAAACTACACAGAACATTCTATTTCTTCATAGTGACTGTAAAGATAAATATAATATTGATATACTAAAAATGCAATGGCAGTTTATTCTTCAATTTTGGTCTCTATTATTTACACAAATGGCTGATGTGCCTGCACAAAGCCCCATTTGGAACTCTCTAGAAGTTACAGAAACATTTGATGGGAGCCCCATGTATACTGCTTCTTGTATATCATGCCGCTTAGCACGGCTTGCACTGAACCCCTTCAGTTTGTTTTCAACTGACACACTTACCAACTTTTCTGGATCTGCATAGAGTTGTTTTTGCATTTGGTTGCAGGTTCTCTGTCTTCAGCATTATGATCTTTAGGGCCGTTTTTATAAGTGCCAGTGCTGAGAGAGCAAGCTTTCCCTTTCAGGTGGGCTTTTTGTGTCTTTCTGCTTCAGCAAATATCTCTTGCTCTGGATGTTCCTTTAAGACAGATCTTGCATCCAAGCTCTAGCCTGACTCAGTACCTCTGAAGCATCAGCATTTTCTGGCAAATCTACCCAAATTTCCCATTTCTGAAGAAATGGGAAATTTGGGTAGATTTGCCAGAGAACAAGGAAAAAGGCAGGAACCATAACCTGAGTAGAGGTGCAAAACTTAAGTGTACAATTGCACAGAAGACCTCTTTAAAAATCAGAATTACAAGCAAGCCACCTGTCCTTCACCCACAGAAGAAATCTGTGGCAGATGCATGCCCACAACAAAAAATGGATATCCCCATTAGCTTCAGAGAGATACTTACTGAAATCCTTGTAATGTTACTCATTACTGTACATTAGTAGTAATTAATGTAATATTTTAAATTTAACCCAGTGGCCTTATGTTCTCATTGGGTGTTTTTGTCCTATTTGGATTACTGAGAAGTAGTTGGTTTGGGAGTAGGGAAGATATCATGTTATTCATCTGACCTCCTTCTCCATCTGGTTTAAATAACAGAGGAAATAGGAATGGGACAAAGATGAGAAAGAAATGTAATATTTTCATATTATAATCACTCCCAACCCTCTGGCCAAAAGCATGTAATGATCTTTTACTAAACTACTTGTCAGAAATACACATTGTTTGATGGTTTTGTAATAGAGCTAAAATATTTTGTTTCAATTTTTTTCAGGAAGGTAAAGTTAAATGTCTGGAAGTGTTGTTTTAATTCTAAATAATTCTTCTTTCCGTAGATATTCCTCTCCTGAATTTTCAGGAATCAGATTTCCTCATCTGCTTTATCAACCAAAAGTTTTAATTTATATATGATAGCTTTTATTACTGTGTCATAATGTACTAAAATATTCTATTATTTTCCAGTGTTTTCCAGAGGGTACAGATATGGTTGGCATACTGGATTTCTATTTCCAGGTAGCTAATTAATCTTCAGAATATTTGTAATCCTTGAAGAAGAAAAAGAGAAATATATAGCAATTACGGGTTAAAATTATATATATACAAGTGCAAAGGGTACAAAGGGTTCATTGCACAAGCAGACTTGTATTTGCATAGCAGAGGATCCAGTCCTTTGTTTGGGGCAAGTATGTTAACTAAAAAGATATTTCAATTGAATATGTTTTTAATAAATCAGCATTTCTCATTCTCTGATCTTAATGCAAATTAACAATTGATTGCCATCCTTGACCTAATATTTATATAATTTTGTAGTGATAATATAATATTTTGTGCAGCCAGTTTTGTAATGGTTGATCATATCCTGAGGAGAAATGGTTAATCATATCCTCAGTGCTTTCACACTGGTATGTTAACTAGAAAATCATCATCATACTGTATTTTCTTATTCCTAATCTTGTTACTGATTAAAATATGAGATTTTTTTCAGTCCTTGTGTTCAACATAAGGCAACTTTGAATTTTACACACTCTAGTAACTAACGTGAATTGTTTTGGTTCTGCCACACGATTGGACTGTTTACCTGTGCAGTAACTGGATAATGTATTTTTTTAAATGTTTCTTTTAAAAAATGTTAGTCTTCATCAGAACAGGCTTCACTGTTGCACTGATTAGAGAACAAGTTGGAAAAGAAATCTCATTCCCCAATTGTTTTATGAGTTAATCTTGCACCGTGATAATCACTTTCATAAAAACACTTCCCTACCATCAGTTCAGAAGCAGGTGCCCATTTCATGCTCACTCAGATAGAGCTGTCTTCCCTAATTTGGAGACTACTTATCTCTCACATGCTATATTGTTCATAGGGTAGTACACTGTTCAGGGGTTTAGTCTTCCTTTTGGAAGGTAGCCCTTTCATCCATTTATTTACATAACCTACGATTTGCATAGATTGATCGGTGTTTTCTTGTTCTTATCTTTATTTTTCCTAAGTTGTGCTCCATAGAAGTGACTTGTGAATCTGCTAGTGTCATGGCAGCAACCCTTGCTAATGGTGGCTTTTGCCCCATCACTGGTGAGAGAGTCCTGAGTCCTGAAGCAGTTCGGAACACACTAAGTTTAATGCATTCCTGTGGCATGTATGACTTCTCAGGACAGTTTGCCTTCCATGTAAGTGTTTGTTTCGGGCTAACACTTAATAGACGGATCTGTTATAAAAAATGTTCAGTTATTCTTTTTAAAAAAGAATGATCTGTTTACTAAAAACAGTGGTTGCAGTTAGCAAATCAAATGTAGTCAGTAAAAGACGTTCCATATCATATGGACTAGTTAGGACTCAAATGAAGGAACTGAATCCAGGAAAACTCACAAGGTATTTTGAGGTATCAACCAAATAATCCCTGGGAAGTGAATTTACACCAATTAATACATTGTGGAAAAGTATTGTTGCCTTGACAGATGATATAGATATTTAGTGAATGAGATCTAAATATTGATAAGTGTATTTTAACTGTTCAAACTGCATTCATTTAGGTGGGTCTTCCTGCAAAATCTGGAGTTGCTGGTGGCATTCTCTTGGTTGTTCCTAACGTTATGGGCATGATGTGCTGGTCACCTCCGCTAGACAAGATGGGCAACAGCGTTAAGGGGATACATTTTTGTCATGTGAGCAAGTCTTCTTACTTGAATTGTTACCAGTCTGTAGCAGAAGTACAATAATCATCAGTGTTTATACCTATCTCAGTGAAGGTGGGGAAGTTTGCACTGATCTTGCGCAGAAACACTTATATCTTCATTGTTAGAATCAAAGCAGATGATTGAATATTTTTAATGCAAAAAGATGGATGATCAGTACCCCAACAAGCTATAGTAATGAGCTGAGCAACGATATAGAGGATGCATTTTGAAAGCGGAAGAAATGCTGACAAAGTGCATGTATTTCTTTTCAACTCAGCTCTACAAGTACTTGTCCTAGTTGCCAAAATAATGTAAATTCCTTTCTTTTCGTTCCCCTAAATTTATAAGTTTCACTTAATATTCATCTTAACAAAGGGCTTTACTAATGAGTTATGTGTAATCAGGTAATGCCAGACTGTAGCTAAATGAAACATAGTAAATTATAAATTATGATGATACATGTGAGTATAAATATAACAGAATTATGTTTTTACTACTGCAGGAACTGGTTTCTTTGTGCAACTTTCATAATTATGATAACCTGAGGCATTTTGCAAAGAAGCTTGATCCTCGGAGGGAAGGTGGTGATCAGCGAGTAAGTTGAAAGTATTTTATAGAATTAATGTGTAACATGTACATTATGCTTAGCAGTTTCCAAATAGGATTGGTCAATGACATGTATTGCATCAATACAGATACAATTCAGACCACATCTGTCACATCTAGAATTTACTGATAAATGCTGAGCCTCTGTTACATTAATCACTAGCTTTTACTTGTTTGCTCCCTTACTAGTAATAATGTAGCATTTGGCTGAAACTATGTTTGGTATAAATAATTCGTATTGTACAACATACTTGAGTTTGGAATATTTAGAATATTCTCAAACAAATCTGAGAGCAGTTCATGTATCCCTTCTATATGAGCCTAAAATCATCCTGGATAAAATGCCATGAAGCAAAGCTAGTGTATTCAGCAGTATATCTTCACTTCATAAATATGATGGGGCAAATTTCTTCATTATGGAACTTGATATTACAAGAAAAACTAAGATATATAATACAGATTACTTTTATTAACACCTTTGATCCACAGATTAGTGAAGAAGTATCTCCAGTACTGTTCTTGGCTCTCAGAGTAGCAGTGGATAATCTCTTGCTTGTTGCTAGGACAGATAGTAGAAAAATGGGATGCTTCTCAGCCAACATTTTTTTAAAATGTACTGCCTGAGATACAGAGCTCTGTATTAACTTCCAAGCATGTCAGTCACCTTACTGTTCTGACCACAGCTCTGATCCTTATTGGGAAGAAGTCTGTATTTTTGAATGTCATTAATACCATTCAAAATACTAGCAGTGGTCATTACCTAGATTTTGGAATTCTGTTTGCACTGTCACTTGTGTAAGTTCAAGGACAATTCTTATGTTTTGGCCCTTAGCCTGAGTTTGGGTTGGGAAAAAAGATTGGAGCTTAGGGTTTTGGCCCTGTACAGTTAAAGCGCTCCAGTCCTCTACCATCTTTCTAACACTTGTAGTAAAGCTTGGGCCTAAGTAATGATTGCCATAGCAGTTGGAAACAGTCCATGTCTAAGACAGAGAGAAGGGTGGGTTGTCAGGCTTGAACTAAAATGGGAGAACCTGGATTGTAGGAGTGGTGTTGGTAACTCAATAATTAATAGAACCTTGGGAATTCTAGTTTAATATGAAAGTTCCTGTATGGCTCATTAATCAGCATTCGGTTATGAATGAAGTTGGTTAAGGGAGTCTTTCTTCCCCTTGACCAAATTAAATAAATTATTCACTGTGGTTTGAAATTGAAAAATCTGTCACATAATAATGTCAGGATGAGAGTGATTGTTGAGAACCAGCAAGTGCTAATTGGTAAATAAAAATAATGCCAGAATGTTTTGTTTCATTGTTAATCTAATGCATAATATATGTTGCTTGAACAATTAGCATTCCTTTGGACCATTGGACTATGAGAGTCTCCAGCACGAACTTGCATTAAAAGAAACTGTGTGGAAAAAAGTGTCACCCGAATCAAATGAGGACATCTCCACTACTGTGGTGTATAGAATGGAAGGTCGGGGAGAGCAAAACTAGTGCAATGGGAGAGTTTTGATTTCATCTTTAAACACACTCCAGTTTGTCTAGATTACACAGTTCCAAATATTTTAGTTTTATTCTTTTGATTTCAGTAATTTGTAAATATGCTTGAGACACCAAAAATTGGTATATCAATAATTTTATATTAACTGCTTTAATAATTTTTTTCAGAAAGCAATTTGAAACAAAACTTAACATGTGTGCTATCTAAACTTGTGTTGTGCTTAAGGAATGAATTCAAAAGGGAATTTTTAGGGGTGCTGAAAAATTAAGAAATATTGCAGTGCATCAAGATGCAAACAGCATAATTGTTAACAAAAAGCATGAGAGCAAAGGATATAGGAAAACATGAGTCCCAGATCATAAGTAGATATTTCTTTTATTGTCAATATATTCTAAAAAATGACCCGTTATCTTTTCCATGAACTGTTTAAAAACTTGATCCCAATTATTTGGATTTAAATTCAGTTAATTTCAGTGTAACCAATTGTAAGTCAAGTTAACTGTTCAACTTTTGCAACACTGGCAAAAGAATACAAGACTTTTACATAAAGCATATTGGTAAACAAACTTATTTAAGGCTGTGTAAAAAATATTAGTATGTTACAATATGAGTTAAGGTAAGAAAGTCATGCTGGATTAGACAAAAATCCTAATTCCAGGATTCTGCTTTTTCAATGGCCACTTAGCATCCTTTTGCTGTTTTTCACCAGCAGTTGATACTGTAAGTCAGTCTATTTCTGATATAGGAGGTAGTGTATAGCCATTAGGGCTAGCATCCAGTTGATAGCTTCATCCTTCATGAATGTTTCTAATTCAGTTTTAAAACCATAACAAGTTTATGACCATCCCTATATCTTAAGTAATAAATTCCATGGTACAAGTGCTCTGTGAAGAATCACTTCCTTGTGTGATCGGTGACCCTGGGTTCTAATATTATAAAAAGGGGGTAATAAAGCTTATCTCTCACTGATTGTTTACACCCTCTTTATTTTTATGCTCCTCTATCATGCCTCCCCTTACTTTTACTTTTCCAAGCTAAAAGACTTCAAATATTAAACCATTTTCTTGTAGGAGATTGAGCTCTTGTAGTAAATCTAGTAGAAGTGTGTTAGAAAAATGTGCTTCTATTGAGCCTTCAACTTCTGAAAAAAATGATGGTCTGATTTGTTTAGGCATCAGAAATCAGGTACAAAGGCTAGATTCCACTACTCAGTTGTGATTGCAGCAGCCTATAACCCTATAAAATTAGAAATCTACTGTAGATGAGGTAAGGATATGTTCAGAATGCATTGCAAAAAACAATGTGGAAACTACAGAATTTTAGCACGGTTGCTTCTGCGCTAGAAACCTGTAGTGCTGCTGAAGGATAGCTTTCCTCAGTTAACCAAGCACGGGATTAAGTACTGTGTCAAGTATAATTTAAGGAAGAGTCATAAACTCAGTCGGGTAGAAAGCAGATGACACTAAGTATAGATAATACTGTGCTATATGGATCAACAGCCTTGATATGAGTAAACATCCAGTATGCTCATATAATAAGTGGCATCTGTTCTCATAGTCAGGTTCTTTCTGTGATTCCTCTTCACAAAGCTTTGTTCAACTACGTTTTCTTCTACAAATGAAAACTTCTTGTACTCAAGTTCAGTATTATTTACTGGATACTTAAAAAATCAATATGGCTGCAGTATTGGTGACTTTTCCTTATTTAGTCTGCTAAATATCTCAGAAAAATTCTAGGAAAGAAGATAATATTAGAATGTTCTAAACAGGAGTGGGGAAACTGTGAGTCCTTTGGGTGTTGCTGAATTATAACTTCTAACTTCCCTTGCTATGGGTAATGCCTATGTTTTGGGGAGTTGTAATTCAGTAACTTTTGGGGGCCAAAGTTTCCCTATTCATAGAATGGTAGATTTGAAAGGCATGACAAGGATCATCTACTCCAGGCCTCTGCAGTGCGCAGTTCTAACATCCTTGAGAGGTAACTGTCTGGCCTCTTCTCTAGAGACTAACAACCTCTGTGTGCAGACAGCTCCACTGTGTACAAATCTTATTTTCAGGAAGTTTTTCCTTATATTTAAACAACAGTTGGAACTGCAACTTCTCCCTAGTCCTAATTTCTGTAGCAGTAGACCATCTTCCCCAGAACACTCTTTTATACACCTGAACTTTGATATTGTATTTCCACTCAGTTGTCTTTTTTCCAGGCTGAATATCCCAAATTTCTTAAGCCTGTCCTAATAGGACATGTCCTCCATTCCTTGCATTGTCACCTTTGTTGCCCTCCTCTTAACATATTTGAACCTGATGATATCCTGGAAATGTAGTGCCTACCACTATCCTGGTAGTGCCCAGATATGTACACAGTACTTATAGGTACTGTGAGAGGAATAAAGATGTCATGTGTTTTCAGTACAGTGCTTCTTCTAATGTACCCAGAACTGCCATTGGCCTTTCTAATAGCTGTCTCACACTGCTGTCTCATGTTCAGCCTGTTTTCAATGACCACACCCAAGCCCTTCTTTGATGGGGTACTTCCAAGTCATGAATCTCCCATCTTGTTTGTGTGTCCTGTATTTTTATTCCCTAAATGTAATAGCCTACATTTTTCATTGGTGAAGAGCATTTTGTTCCTTTCAGCCCAGTCCTCCAGCCTGTCCAGATTTTGCAATCTCATTTCATTGGCCTGGGTGGGGGCCAGAGCTCCCAATTTTGTGTCTTCTGCAAATTTGATCTAGACAAGAGGAAAGTTTGAGTTAATACCAGCACTAGAATGTGCTCTTAAAGCACTGGGGGAGTATAGGAAACAAAACCCCAGTGCTAAATTACATTTAAAGAAGTCATGCTTTATCAATCTCTACAATTAATGCTCTTAGAAAAGCATTTTTATTATAATGACTGCAATAGCCAATTATCATGTTAATGGATTGGAAGCAATCCAGACAGATTGATAAGGTTGAAGCTGGTTTGTTGATAACAGGAACAATGCCTTTTCAGTGGTGTCTTCATACTAGTGGAATTCTCTTTTTGCAGAAATCTGCTTGGCCCTTTCTGTCTTTTAAGCAGAATCAATCTTATGCTGACATATTGCTGCCCCCCTCAACGTACCATTTTTAATTTGTTGCTTTTTAATTTTGGTTATTGCTGTAAAATACCGTAGGGGTCCTTTTTTAAAAGGCATGGTAGTAGGTGGGGGGTTTGTTTTTGTTTTGTTTTATTCATGGTTCAAGACCAAAAACAGGAAAAAACCAACAATACAATATAATGAGTATAAAAGGGAAGTTTTAAAAGAATGTGAGAGAATACTAAAACAGTTAGCAGCCAAGAATTAATAAAATGAGGGAGGAACCAGACAGCTTCTAACAGCTATAGCAATTGATAAAAACATTGCAACCTTTTTAAAGGTTTCTGAAGAGTGGTCAGCCAGAAGAAGGGTAATGGCTTCCTAGTCACAATGGCAATTAGAGTTGTTAACAATTGGAAGTATTAAATTCCAGTACTTAATGGAAGTATTAAGTATTGGGTATACATTGGGTGTACAGTGGACATTTTAATAGCATGTATAAGAAGATTCTACCTCCATGTCTGAACAAAAGCAAGTTCAGCTTTCATATGGGAGACTTCTAAATCTACCAATTGTTGCCATAATAGATAGTGACCCAGTTCAGGCCAAAGTAAACAGTCTCCTATGACGAACATATAAGATGTTAAAGAAAGATCTAGGAACAATCTGGGGAGGAGGAGCAATTGTGTTATAAAAGGGATGGGAAACGTTGGCTCTGTCACTTTGGATATCTAAATCCCAAATTCTCTTGTGTCAATTCAGCCAGTTTTATCAAGCCCCAAAGCAGGTGCTGCTGACAAGGTAAGACCACAGTATACCAAATCGTCATTAATTTGTCTTCCTAGGGTGGAAGACAACCTGCCTGGCAAGTGAGATGGTCTAAGGAAGTTCCCAAATAGACTTGCTTCAGCCAGAATCTAAGATGACAATATTTTAATTGTGCCCCAAGGGAAATGCAACCTAATTCCAGTTGTGTTAGAGTGTTAGAAGTTGAATAAAGAACTCGTAGTAAGATTTTCAAGAATTTTGGTTGGATTGCCTCTAAAGTACTAGATTGCTTTTAAATACATAGCTGAGCACTATATAGCATCAAACCCAGAACTTTGGCTTTAAATAGTTTAATAGCTGTTGGGACTTAATAATTACCAAATTTGACCTGCAAATTTAGCAATTGCAAGGGATGTTTTGGGGGCTTTTACTAGAAGTTCTCCATTTGAACAGACCAGCAGGTAGAAGATTGAAAATAGACAGCTAAATATTTAAAGGATTGTACCTGCTTGGTGAGTTTGCCATTGATCATCCATCTAATTGGGGCTTTAAGCGTTTTCTAGAGAATACTAATATTTTGTTTTAGAGTAGCTTGGTTCGAGGTGTTCTCTAGAGCAGGAGAGTGATAAAGCTAGCAGGAAATAATTTTAAAAATTATTTTGTCCTCCTTATTTGATGAAGGTGCTTTCTCTCTGGCCCTTCTGCCAGCTTCTGTGCTACCCCATTTTCCTGTATATTTCGCTTCTTAAGGAGATCAGATTTGAGGAAGTGCACAAGACTCACTTGATGAATGGCTGATGGATGAACATGAAACTACTAATCTGTGAGAATGGAAGCAACTGTTACAAAGATGTTTTTAGCTTGATTGAACTAGATTGGGGCAGAGATAAATGTTCTCTTTCTGAATCAGCACCACCTATGTCACTTCACCAAGCAGGTGGTTTCAGTTAAATTTGGAATACCATGCACCTCTAAAGCATTTGGCATATGCAGATTTTTGGTGTCTTTGTAATGACTGCATTTAGTATGTGTGAAAAGGCCTTATGGCCTTGGGAAATAGGACACAAAACTTTGATTTGTGGACATTATCATTGGATAAGGATGGGCAATGAATGGACCATCTGATGTTATTGATATTCTGCTCTTCATAGTGCTAGACAACCTGGCCAAAGTGACTAATGATGGGGATGGTAATAAAAAATAAGGTTGTCCCTGCTGTCCATTTTAAGCCTGAAAGACTTCCTAAACTATTAAAACAGTCGGTTTCAGACTTGACATGAGGTGTTTTGAGTTCAGAGTAGTTCAGATTTGAAACATTTTACATATGTCTGTCTAGAGTCTTCTAAGTTATACCACCAGATTATACCCACCAGAGAAATGGCTACGTTCCAGGAAGAATCAACTGTATGGTCAAGGCCACAAACATGATCTCGAAAGTTGACAGAATATTGTTGTTTTTAATCTGTAATTAGTAAAGCTTAGTGTGCATTTTTGTTCATAGCAGTATCAGTTCTTAGTATTCAAGCATTTATCTTGTTGTATTCCCCCCTGCCCTTTGACATAATTAATGCTTAAAAATATGTGTTTAAACTTTGTTTTACCATGTGTTCTATGATTTTTTCTCCTCAGTTTAAATGATTTATGTGTTCCACTTTTCATTTACATTGTATGTTATTTATGTACCTTGAGCACATACACTTTGTATTATAATAAATTTTTATTTTAAGCAGATCATTTTGCATTTTTGTTCCTTTTCATATGTGGTCTAAGCCATGATTTGATTCTGAGAATGAAAAGCAGTCTTGTAATGAATGCTCACTTAGCTATTTTGATTAACTTATAGATTTTTTTAGGGGGTACAACTTGAATTGATTTCTGTTTTTGTTTGGGTAGTGTCTACTGTTTTCCTTATCTTGCCATCTTACATCAGCTTTGGGTGGTGGCTTGGGAACACATTTGTTTGGGCCTGTAGCGTGTCATGCTCTTGTTAGGTGGACAACCCTTTCCTGTCCCCACTACTGCTGCTGTGGCTGCTGCTATCCACTGTGCATGGGCAGAGTGTTTGAAGCACAGTTTGTCCAGGCAGAGAGGAATGTCCTTGCAGAGGATTACAGAAACATATATGTATATATATACATACAAACTCATATACTGTCACAATGCTTAAGTAAAAATGCCTTGCATACATGTGCCTATTGAGCATTTTAGATCTAAACCTATATATTGATCTTAATTCATGCATTTCTGAGACCAAATGCACATGGATTAGACCAGCTTTGTAGGCTACAATTTATCAAAGCCATTTGCATGAGTAAGAAGGAGCTAATCTCACATGGAAAAGTTTCTTTTGTTTCTAACCAAGCAGCTTCCAACAGCGGAATTTCTCTCTTTGACAGTGAATGTCCCTTTGTAAAGCTTTTTTTAAAAAAAGCTTGTCTGCCTGTGCATTTGTGAGCATGGATACAGTATATTTCTTTGACTTATACTGTAGGACCAAATCAAAAGAAAGGTGTCAGTGTTTACATTCCTTTGAAACTACCGTAATAGTTCAACTTAGTCCCAGTTAAATTTGAATATGACTGATGTTTTCTGAATGAAATATTCTGCTCTTTGGGGCATCTTTATAGCTATCTATTAACTGTGGTTTACTTCCACTGTGGAAAACACATGGACTCTAGAAAAAGGAAATTGTGGGGGGAAAATGAAAGGGAAGTAGTATGGACACCTTGTAGCAATTATAGCTTTTTCATGTCTTGATTCATACATGTCATTGAGGTTACAATCCTGTACCTGATTATCCAAGAACTTCTATGTAGTTTATAACTAAGAGGGCATATATACAATTATGACACAGAGTACTTTGTGATATTACTCTCTTTATTTCAATAAATACCTGAATTTAATGTTTATTAGTTTCATTATTTGTTACTTTGCTTTGTTGAATTAGTTATTATTTGTTAGAATGAGGAGGTATTTGTAAAATGTTACAGTATAAATATAGAATTCTCTTTCCCCAACAAGCTTTTAGTTATGATGAACAAATGAACACTTCTGAAACTTTTGTACTGAGGAGATCATAGTTGCTTTAATTATTTGTGCCGTGCCAGGTACCGCAGGATTCATTGAGTACTGATTGTATGCCAGGAGACTGGGGTAAAGAGGCAGGGTATAATCACCTAGATCAGCACCATTGATTTACTTTCCAGAATTCCATAGATAGAAACGTGTATTGCTTCCATATGCTGGATTTCCTTCTTTATATAAATAGCAAGAGCAGTTCCTGCATGGGAAATGCTGAGTCTGTGTTGCAGAGGTTTGTCAGGCATTTTCTTCCCTTCCCATAATTCTCCTTTGTGGCTACCGTATTTAAGAGGCAACTCGGTGGATCAAAAGCTCACTTTCAGTATTTAATTTTTAACATCAGTATTCCTATTGAAGAAAAAGTAGGAAAAACTAGGCCAAACTAGCTTTAAATCATGTAATATCTAAGGATACTGACTTAACTGAATACAGATTTATGGCCCATTAAACTAGGCAAGCCTCAATTTGACTGTGCAGCATATATTTTTATTTTTTTTATGTTGACACCTACCCCTGGAGATGAAGTCTGTGAAACTCCTAAGAATTCCAAGTATTTTTTTAAAAATGTTTTTTGTTTTTTGTTTACTTTTCAGTTAAAGAGTATTCATTTACTTTTTGTTCATCATTATGGCTGTTGGTACTGTGAAGTCTATTTTTATACCATGCAGTCCAAATATATGGTATCATTTTACAACGATTTCATTCTTGAATACATTTTTTCAAGTTTTCTTTAATCCACTGTTTTGATTTACACTTGTGTCTTGCGTATATTTTCCAATTATAAATAATATTTTCGCTTCCAATAACATTTGTTAATACTTTTCTAAGTAGTCACCAAATTGCAAATTCAAAGTGGTATGTATAGTCCTGCTTAGGGTGTATGATCAGTGTGATAGATACTTGTGAGAATTAGGCAACTTTTTAAATGCAAAGAATTCGCATATTCTTAGTATCACAATTAGTCATTGCCTTGAGTTCTCAAGACAAAAGTGGGATATGAATGCACTAAATAACCACAGCATCATTAACGGCTTTCTTTATCAATATTCCGATCAGACAAAACTTCACAGCAATGCAAAGTACAAAGTCATGTTTAGGTGAGAAATTAATAGAGTTGTATTTGGGTACAATTTACCATATTTTTAGTATCCATTAGACATGTTTGCTAATTTGAACAGCTCTATCATATTTTAAGACAATCTTCAACTAATGGAAGTTCATTTATTTTTTCTCATTTGGGAGCATTATAGATTCTTGCATTACAGAATAAATTTGTCAAATCTGACATTTCATATTCAATTAGACATTTCACTTCAGTAGGGATATGATCAGATATGTAGGTGATCATGTCTGGATATTGCTTGCCTAATATGTCTGTATGTGTTTAAAGTAGGGGGTAATACATTCATTTGGTGCCCGATTGTGTTGCCAGCAGAAACTATCTTCTGGCTAATAAAATTGTATAACTTTATATGGTATCAAAAGTCGAATTAACATTTTATATTCACCTCAGTGGTTACGCATTAATTAATGCCACCACTTGCCACCAGGAGTTTATGTCTAGCAATCTCTCCATTTCTGTATTGTTTAGAATTTGGCGGGACTTTGAACATGGAGGCAAATACAGTCCACGTATTCAGCTGCTGAACAATTGAACCAACACTTTATTATTTGAAAGCACAAAAACATTTTAATAAAAAGTTTCTACATAACAACAGTTGCAGAGCAACTGGTCACTGGTCCACTGGTCAATACTTAGATACCCTCCAGATAATTTCAACAACAGTTGACATGGCTGACTGGGAGTTACAGCCCAAAAATATTGGAAGGGAAGAAAATAGATTATCCTGCAATAGACAAATTGTGATGGTAGGTAGCTGTACGCAGCTGTGGTAGATAGCTACCCTACACACCAGCATATAGGCACTACATGCTGTAGTGTTTGTAAAAAATTGTCCCGTACATTATGAAGTTCTGTTACCAAATAGCGCTTCCAGGCCATTAATAATTTTTTTCTTGCAAGAAAAGAATAGACAGGCAAATGGAAATGCTAAGTGTTTTATGCTATCCATGAACTTTTGCCATTAATAAAGCCTTTTCAATTTTGTGAATTTATTTGAAAACCTTGAGGAAGTTCACAGAGCTACAGAGTCGCATCAACGTGGACTAATTCAGTCATCCCTGTTATGAAGCAGGGAATGCGTGTGTCCTTATCACTTCATTCAGATCCCCAAAATTAGTTGAGTGACAACTGTCATCCTAGCCAAAAGGAATGACCTGTGGACCTGAAGCTGAAAACTACTAAGATAGAGGGTCTGATTAAAAAATGCATTTGGCTTAAAGCCTGTCCAATCCACATACATGGTTAAGTGTGCTTAAGTTATTTTGCCAGAATTTACTGTGAATTGCAGTCACAATTATGAGCTTCCTTCCTTAGCAAGTGTTTTTGGAGATCATTTTTCTCCCCAGTAATTCTCATGTACCTTGATATGTGCCTGCTAATGATAATATATATGCATATTTATTGAATTTTCCTGAAAAAATTGCTTTGAACCCCAAGTATGATAGATGTTCTGTTGGAAAATTCATTCCCCACCACCACCCACACATGCAAAACACTTCTGGAATCATGAGAGAATCTCTGATCTTAATATGAGATGGCAGGTATAAAAATATTTGCAAGCTAAATTGAGATAATGGACCAAGATACCAAACATGCTCACCAAACAACAGATGACTTAGTCAAGTCACCATGTTAGGAATGAACTGAGTTTGAGGCATCTTCTGCTTAATGCTAATTGCATATGCAGACTTGTAAATAATCTCTTTTTATATACCAAGCCAGAGAATAATTCTTTCAGGAAATGGCACTTGATTTATAATGCAGCTGGCCATTATAATCTGGATCAGACTTGTTTTCCAAACAAGGTAATAGTGAACTTCTTCAACGTCCCCATATATTTCTCATGCACTATCTTTGACCCTGTTTTCTTATACAAATTCCTGGATTTGGTCTAAGAGTTTTGGCAGATCTTTTTGTGCCTTTATGTATGGGGGTGTTTTAAATCACAGCTATCCTTCCAGCTTTCCAAAAGGCTTAATAGCTTTACCTTTGTTAATATGTTTAATAATCAGCAACTTTGTTGCATACTTCACCTTCCATTAATATGGAAATAATTGGCATATGTTGTCCTATTTGGCATCACAAAATAATTAAGTATTTTTGGGCTAGTGAGGAAAAAATCCTATTGTTTTTAGTGAATTGTTTTCTAGGTAAAATCTTTTCTAAAAAGAGGTGGGAAGCTTTAGCAAAAGGGAAACTTGATTTTATGCTATAGACTATATAAACATAGTTTATATTGCTCAGTTACATATGTTATTTTCAAGATATTCTGTTACATTTAATCCATCTGTTATAATTCTTCAGAGCACTATTTAGCCATACAGAAATTGGGATTGATCAGCACTCAAGTGCTCTGGAGATATCCTGCTGACCTTATTCAAGAGATGAGCTTCTCCTGGAGATGTTCACGCAGGAAATAAAAATGTTTGCAGAAGAAAAAGCTTTGAAAAATTGGATATGCACTAGGACTGTTTGCAGCACATGAATATCATTTGAATGACATTGGCGTAAGGCACAGCTAATTGTG